CGCCACGCCCCCTTCCCCTATAGGGCAACTCGTTCCTGCTTCCAGGACGCAGGAGGTGGGAAGCACGAGGGGGCTACCGTGCACGCTTAGTGTCCTCTGTCCTGCGCCTGCGCAAGCCTGCTCTCGCTCGCTGGCGTTCTCCCTCCAATTCCCACCTCCCCGCATCATCATCATCTTCATCATCATCAACCCCCTTCCCTTCCCGGCCGCTTCTTCTGTTAAGCAAATAGGAGATCCCCGCTCCGCTCTCGGGACCTTGTCAGCGAAGAGGATCCGGGCCTGAAGGAGCGGGTCCTCCACCGAAGCCCCACATCACAGCCCCCCGCGTACGTGCCTCGAAACCCACGGAGATCGTTATCATGCGCTGGATGGAGACGGTCTCTCTCGGCAGCCTCCTGAGTGGATATTGCTACTCTTAGCTTGGAAAGTGGCGGCGCTGGAGAAGGAAAGGCAGAGGAAAAGGGAGCCGGAGGATAGCCCGGAGGTGAGGCGAGGGACCGAGATCGGAACCGCGGAGGGTTGATTCTGAAATGGGAAGGGAAGGGAAGGGGCTGGGGGCGCGGTCTGGAGGCAGGTCGCTGGAGCCGGTCCTCTGGGCTTTGGGGCTTCTGGGCTTTTTTTTTTTTTTTTTTTAATCTCACCGGAAAACTTTGCTTTCCCTCTCCGCTTCTGAGTTCATGGAAGGGGCGGTGAGGGGACACAAAGAGCGCTTGCTGGCGTCTGCGGAGAAATGACGGGAATTTTACGAGGAGAGCCAGGGCACAGCTTGGGATTGTCCAGGTCTCTGTGTGGAACACCTCGGACGCCTCGCAATATTCGCTACGCGTTGCCTGGCGCAAAGGATGGGTCTGGATTCCAGGGTGCATTTCAAAAAGTGCGTGTGCGGGGGGGGGGGGGGGGGGGGGCGCAAAAGAAGGGGTGGCTGCCTGCGTTTTTCTTTGTGCGGGAGGGTCGTGCAGCCCGGCTACCTGACTGCTGCGTAGGTGACTTTATGTCTTCCGGTGCGCGGAGAATCGAGGCTGCCTCTCTGGATGCTCGGGGTGGCGGGCGGCGGGTTGCTCAGGACGTCTTTGTATGCACGATTGGGTTTCCCATCCATAATCACGCCAAGGGGGAAAATGCACCCGAAACTTGCATGTGAGAGCAAGCAGCGTCCAAAAGCCTCTTTTCCATAGAAGGGTTTGGACTAGAGAGATCTATATCAGCAAAGTTTCGCGGCACGTCTTGGTTCCTGGAGTTGGGTTTGCGCGGAGCTGTCTGCCGCTAAGCAAAGCTTGGCCTCTCTGTTCTTCTAAGGGGGTGTGTTGCTCTCTTTTTCAGCGGCGTTTAGCCCTATTCTGCTGGGAGGCTCAGAGGCAACTGCAATAAGAGTCTCTCTCTTCCCCCCCCCCCCCTATTTGTTACTGTTGATCTGCTGCAGTTGAAGAGACTCCACCTGTGCTACTGGCAGATGAAAAGTGATTTTATGTGTGCGTAGGCCAGGAAAAAAAACAAAACCCGTGATTTATTGTTGCTGTTTGGATACAACCAGATGCATGTTTCAGGGAGACAAGGCGATGCTTGTGACATTAATGGATATTGAAAATGAGTTAATGGCAAACATGTGGGATGTTTTGAGCTGACTTAAAAGTACTCAGTGTGTGTGGATGCCAAGAAAGGCAGTCTAGCGTCCTCCATTTTGGACTGCAACTACCAGAATCCCTGACTGTTACCCATAGTGGATGGAGTTGATGGGAGTTCTAGTCAAAAAGTATCAAGCTGCCTATCTTTAATATAGTGGATGATGTGTGATGGCTTGATCAATTTTAAAGGGTATTTCCTGCTGATTTTCCCCCTTTGCAGTGCATGCCAGTGGGAATACTGTGTTGCTAAGTATTTCCTCTCTACTGTTCCCATGGAGAAGAACACGTTTCAGAAAAGAGAGCTGTTTGCCCAAGCACCAAATCGGCATTCCTGTAATGAAAAATTTCACGGGCAAACCAACCTGGAAGTTGTTCCTCCTGACCTAGAGATTTAGATCAGTCAGAGGTGTTTGTGGTTAATGCCTTGGAGTGAAAGAAAAGACTCCCCTACCTCTTGATATTTACTGAAGCTGGGTTTGGTGACTAACCCTCGATTCAGATTAAATCCTGACAAAGATTTTGTGCATGATTCCTGTCTTTGGAAGACTCTGATTTCCACTTCACCACTGAGGGATGAAGAAAACCTGTTTTCACATTATACATCAGCAAATCCATGTTTGCCACTGAAAAAACTACACTTGACAGAAAGCCAGTTCTGGCTTCTTCATGCATTGGTATTTGGATTTATATATCTCACCAAGCTATACGTGATTTGGTTTTTCCTGGCTTAGCATTTAGGTGAGCCCACACAGTATGGCTTAGCAGGAAGCCAAGCTATCATGATCTGTTCAACAAACCATAGTTATGTGTGAATGCAGTACATGTGTTTGGTACAAAAGTTTGCAAACATAATTATGTCCCCCCTTTTTTTTTCATACAATACTTTGCTTCATAAAGTGACAAATGTTAATAACTTAAAAACGTAATATATGAATAAATCTTCAGACTTCAGGAATAAACTTAAAATAAATACTCCTGCATGGCAAACTTTAACATAAGTTAGTAGTAATAGTTTCTATTCTATTTTACTATTTGCAAAAGACTGTGCAATTACTTTTGTTTAGATCGATCGATCGATTGATAGATCGATCAGACAGACAGACATTGGGAAGGACAAATGAAGATGAAACACGAATATTTCTGCAATAGCAAGACTTTGAAGATACTACAAGCATTACCTTACTGACCCTAAATTGTCACAAAAAGAACAGTTAGGTTTTTTTTAGAAATGTATTCTTGGAAACAATTATAAAACACTTTGATTTTGGCAAATTTGTAGTAGGAAAAATGATTACCTCACTTAGTGAGGTAGTCTGCTTCACTACCTATTTTCAGTTTGATGGACAAATATACCAACAAATCAGAGGCACACCCATGGGATCACCACTCAGGACTCATAGCAGAGATTGTAATGCAACATCTAGAAACTATAACACTTCCACGCATACAACCAGAAGTATGGATCCAGTATGTAGATGACACCTTTGTTATAATAAAAAAGGAACAACAAGAGAAGACACATGAAACCATCAACA